CAACAAAATGAAAAGTAAATTAACAGAAGAGAAACCAAAATCAAATCAATATTTTGTGTGAACACCATTTGCCTTAAAAAAACAGCACCAATTAATCAATTCTTCTAGGTATACTTGCACACATTTTTTGAAGGAACTTGCCATGTAGGTTGTTACAAACATCTTGGAGAACTAACCACAGATCCTCTGTGGTTGTAGGCTGCATCAAATCCTTCTGTTGCTTCACAGACAGACTCAATGCTGTTGAGATCAGGGCTCTGTGGGGGCCTAACCATCACTTCCAGGACTCCTTGCTCTTCTTTATACTGAAGGTAGTTCTTAATAACATTGATTGCATGTTCGGGGTCATTATCCTGGTGCAGAATAAATTTGGGGCCAATCACCCGCCAACTTAATGGTACGCCATGATAGATAAGTATCTACCTGTATCTCTCAGCATTGAGGGCACCTTTGATTCTGACAAAATTTCAAACTCCATTTGCAGAAATGCAGCCCCAAACTTGCGAGGAACCTCCACCATGCATCACTGTTGCCTGTAGACATTCATTATTGTACAGCTCTCCAGCCCTTCCGTGAACAAACTGCCTCCTGCTACAGCCAAATATTTCAGATTTTGACTCGAGTCCAAAGCATCTACTGCCATTTTTCTGCACCCCAGTTCCTATGCTTTTATGCATAGGATATGGAAGCAAGGCTAAACTACTCTATTATACACGAAAACAGGGGAACTGGGGTGCAGAAACATGGTAGCAGGTGAAATTGCAGCAGAGAAAACGGGAGAGAGAGATGAGAAAGACGAGCTGATAAATGTTTCTACATTCATTGCCCAGTCATATGGGGTGGGGGTGAGAAGGATAGCTGTAAGTGAAAGTGAAACTGCAACAGAGAAAGAATAGTTCCCTTCCCCCCTTCCAGGCAGCACTGTGCTGTGTGGCAGGGCAAAGTAAAGCCAGCCATAGACAATGCGATTTTCTTTTCTGCAAACCATGGTAGCTCAATTTCCCCATCAACACAGTCAGTGCTAATTGGGAAAGCTATTGTGTTCTCCTAGTAGGTGGGAAGCCATCCCTGCCAGAAGAACACAGTGACTATTTTGCATGAAAAATCCAACAGGCTTATTGTTCCCCAAGTCATATAACAATCAAATTAGGTACAATAAGCCTGCCCATCAGGGGCGGACTGACCATTTGGAAACTCGGGCACTGCCCAAGGGCCTGGGGTCAATAGGGGGCCCCATGAGATACCCCTGGTACCTTTTTCATAGGCTTTTTTGAGTTTGGGCAAGGACACAGGAGCCCCATGATCCCCTATTGCCCGGGGGCCCCATGAGTTGTCAGTCCCCGCCCCTGCTGCCCATAGATGGTTCGAAGCTCGGCCAGGGTCTGCTGAACCAGCCGAGATTCGAACCATCTATGGCCGGCTTAAGTCTCAGAACTAGATTTTAAAAACTACAAGTCCCTTGGCAGGTAAAAAAAATGCTTCCTTATCTGTATTTCATGTGTATTTACAGTAGCTGTTTGCTGGGAGTTCATATTTAACTATTCTACAAGTAGAGCAAAATGAAAAAAAAAATCTAGCTTGTGTTACCATTGTCCAAATACATAAACCATTTTTAATTACATTCTATAGACTATTAAATACTATTTTTGTTTTTCTATGAACCTAAATCGTCTTTTTTTCCTTTCAATAACACCAAGTTTAAATAGTATGGTGAGTTGGGAGTTGAAATTACAAATGAACTACTTAAATCTGACTTAATCGAAGTAGCCTTTATCTGACATGCCCGTATGCGGAATTTTAATATCTTAAATGTTTAAAAGGGTATATTCTGTTCTTACACTGGGTGAAATTAAAAAGAAACCGTAAAATCACCAAGATGAAGTGCATTCTGGTTAATAAATTTCAAATGAACACTGACTGCCTTACTGCAAAGCAATATTATTTCTTACCTTGGGGCATTAATAAAGACTGGTGGTTTTGAGGAGGGGAAAAACAATATTATCTATTAAAATTCTGAGCCGTGTTTCAATATTAAAAGGATGTGTGATGAATTTCTAGTGTTAGTTAGACAGGGTCATGGATTAATTTCATTTTTTTTTTCTTGGTCAGCATTCTGTCGATAATTAATCAAAAGCAGAATTTCTTAATGAAACACTTCTCATAAGGTGATAATTAGTAGGAAGGAGACACCCTACAGATAGTAACTGCTAGCTGTCTGATTACTAGAATGGAATCAGAATTATTTTTTTTTGGTCAAGGGAATTAGTTAAAGAAGCGACTTTTGTTTTGGAAATAGATCTTGCGTGTGTGTCTTGTATCTAATCACATCGCTATCAGAAATAGCAGCAGGAGCCAGCCTAAGTCCATTCCACGAAATTACACTAATGACTGAGCATGGCTGTTAAACACAGAGTGCGTCTCACCAGTCAGTTTGTTTTGGCCGAGAGTAAGGGGGAAAAACACAAATATGTGTAAAGCTGGCCATACACAACTCAATATTAGCAAGAGATGCAACCAACTGAACTCTTGTTTTTTTATACTAATAACTTGCAAGAAAATCAAAATTAAAAATAAAATATATGTGTTTGAGAAAAACAGCAGAGCACACATTTACTCCCCTTGCTCCCTTGCAGGAGCAGGGTCCTTTAACCTCCCTGGTGGTGTTCCCGAGTGTAGGTCGGGGTAAAGTTTCAGTACCACAAGCGGTAACCCCAGGGGCGGACTGACAACTCATGGGGCCCCCGGGCAATAGGGGATCATGGGACCCCTGGGCAATAGGGGATCATGGGGCCCCTGTGTCCTTGTCCAAACTCAAAAAAGCCTATGAAAAAGGTACCAGGGGCATCTCATGGGGCCCCCTACTGACCCCGGGCCCTCGGGCAGTGCCCGAGTTTCCCAATGGTCAGTCCGCCCCTGGGTAACCCTGAGCTACACTCAGGCTTACCATGCAGCACTGCTCCGCGATCCCTCGATCACTTACCTTGTCCTGCGCTCCCACCATGTCCCTCCTGCATGTGTCCCTGGCAATGTAATCCGGCAGATGCCGGCATCTGTCATCTGGGTTCCGTCCCCTGCGGGCGTCGGGACGTACAGCGATGGAACGGCCGGAAATTTGAAAATGACAAAAAGTGACATTCACTAAAATCACTGAAATCACATAGTATTACATTACTTTATCAAACCATTTCACATACATTTTGTCCCGAGTGCTTTGTCCTGTGCCCTGCCTGAATTTTTACTGTTCTTTCTGCCTGGAAACTGAGAAACGTCCATTGCATCCAAAAAGCGTCCCTTTAGGTCAAAATCGGTTTTAGACCGGCTAGAGAACAGAGATAGTAAATTAGAACTACTTGCAGAATTGAGTGATAATGATTCGTGGGGAAATTCGTCATCAGACACTGAAAACGATTTTGCGACTTTGCTCAGTGATATGCGAACTTGGCACTATTTTTCAAATGTCAGTGTTTTTGGTTTGATTATATTATTGAATTAAATTTATTATTATTATATTATTATTTTTTATGATTATTTATTAAATTATAATTTATGATTTCGTGTTTCAAGTTTTATCCAACCCAGGATGTTTACTAGTCTCTTGTTCGGACAGATTTCAGTGAGTTATTCCTAAAACTTACAGGCCTACAATAAAAAAAAACATATTTCCATGCAAAAAAATGTAGCGCTTTGAGCACAGAAATATGGACATAATCAGGCCGCTAGGGAGGTTAACTCCATCTCTCAAAACTCCCCAGGTTCTTAAACGTGCCCTGGGAAGATATGTGTTTCTGCTTCTTTCCCTCAGGAGCTCAGAGAGACCATACCCAATGAGTGATCAGTGATGTGCAGCTATGTGGCAGGCTTTCCACTGTCAGAACCGGTGTGCAAGCAGCTGGACCAGAGTCTAATAGCAAGCAGCTTCTCTGGAAGGCCCAGTTACTGTGGAGAAAACATCCCTGATTGCTACCAGAGCAGTTCCACTAGGGTGGCAAATCGTCTTTGGGCCTTTGATACCTCCAGCTGTTTGTCTGTGATACCAGAGCTACCCTGGCCTTCACTGTGAGGGACTTTCTTTATGAAGACAATCACAAGGATTTGTGCCCTGTGCTGTTTTACTAAAATGGTGACTTTTTAGCATGACTCTCTGTTGATATATAGTCTTACAGAGTCTATACTATGCAGCCATATCTTGCCCTGATTGACATTGCTGTGAAGAGTCCATGTTTGTGCATCTTTCATAATGTTTTTTTTTTTTATTCTGCAATGTATGCATGATTTTTGCCATTGGGACACTATTTTTAATTATTATTGATTCTAACTTTGCACCTGTTTAGTAAATTGCAGGTTTAGTTATCCTCTGTCTTATCGTTTGGACATTTACCCATTCTTTTACAGATGGCGTCTACAACCAGGATCAGGCAAGGTGATGGGTGTGGTGTGACAGTGGTGCCAGATAGTACTACCCCAGAAGAAAACAGGCAACATACTGCCCCTGCATTAATGACCCCCCTTAGGGCTCATGTACACGGGGCGTTTGGAAAACTCTTCTGAACAATGGAAACTGACTGCTGGAAAACGTAGGTTAAAAAACATCAGTTTAGCCGCGTTTGCATAATGCATTTAGCCGAGTTTATGCATGTTTGCGTTTTTACAAGGTAACCTCAGGAGACCCTCCCAAATGCCCAGAATGCAGGTCAAGAAAAGGGGGGGCAAGCGAGTGTCCCCTCCTGAACCATTCCAGGCCACATGCCCTCAACATGGGAGGGGTGCTTTGGGGTAGGGGGAGCTCCCCCCCAAAGCACTTTGTCCCCATGTTGATGGCGACAATAGCCTCTTCCCCACAACCCTGGGTTGTTGTGTTGTGGGGGGTTATCGGAAGCCCCCAGATCCCCGCCCCCCTTGTGAATGAATATGGGGTACATGGTACCGCTACCCATTCACACAAAAAAAAATCTGTAGTGTGAAAAAAGACAGGAGTCAGGACAAAGCATTAGGGACGGAATGTATGTGAAAGGGTTTTATACAGTAATGTTTTACTATGTAATTTTAGTGATTTTAGTGAATGTCACTTTTTGTCATTTTCAAATTTCCCGCGTTCCGTCCCCCGTACGTCCCGACGTCGCAGGAACGGAGCCCAGATAACAGATGCCGGCATCCGCCGGATTACATTGCCGGGGACACTGCAGGAGGGACATCACGGGAGCGCAAGACAAGGTAAGTGATCGAGGGATCCCGGAGCAGCGCTGCAGTGTAATCCCAAGTGTAGCTCGGGGTTACCGCTTGTGGTACTGAAACTTTACCCCGAGCTACACTCGGGAATACCGCCAGGGAGGTTAATAAAAGAATGTCCCCCGAAGTAAATCCAACGTCAATCACCATGTCCGCCGCCACTGCTCCGAAGAAGAAAAAAAAAGGCTCCGCTACCAAAGCTGGCCCCCTGCCGTCTGCTCAGAAGCTGGTTTGACAGTTCTTAAATATGTAAGGGACACGGCCACCCGGTGACATCACCTGTGAGACCCCGCCCCCTGTAACATTATCGACCAGTGCATGCTGGTCACTGATGTCACACGGGGGGCAGGGTCACATATGTGATGGCCCCGCCCCTTACATATTTAAGAATTGTTAAACCAGCTTCTGAGCAGATGGCCAGGTAGTGGAGCCTTTTTTTTTTCTTCGGAGCGGTGGTGGCGGCGAACATCGTGATTGACATTAGATCTACTTTGTGGGACATTCTTTTATTAAAGGACTTGTCAAAGAATGACTCCTGTCTTTTTTCACACTACAGCTTTTTTTTGTGAATGGGTAGTGGTACCATGTACCCCATGCTCATTCACATGGGGGGGCCGGGAACTGGGTGCCCTTTGCTAAAGGGGGCTTCCAGATTCTGATAAGCCCCCGGCCTGCAGACCCCCACAACCACAGCCCAGGGTTGTGGAGAAGAGGCCCTTGTCCCCATCAACATGAGACAGCACTGTGGGCATTAGCGGTTACCTATTCAGGTATGTACTGAGAGAAAAGATTTCCCTTTATTTTTTTTTACTTATATCTTTTATTAAATTTTCTTTAAAAAGACAATGTAAATAATAACAGTATATATTTATACATCAAATACACCCACTTTACCCCCATTCCCACCCCCACCCCCAAAGCCCTCCCCTCCCCGTACAAAAACCCTTGTCCATTTCAATCTTAACTTTTCTTTCCCCTCCTGTTAACAAACCCATTTCTATAGATCTATTTAACCATTTTGATTCTCCGACTCTACTACCAAGGCACCCCTCTTTTTTAAATATTTTTCAGATGTTTTAAAATCGTACCACCTACTCCACTTTTCTCTAAATATTTCCATCTTGTCCTCCTCAATATGACCCAACTCCTCCATCTTATTAATATACTCAATTCTATCTATCCAGCCCCTCATTGTTGGGGGTCCTGGACCTGCCAAAGTTTAGGGATTAAGCTTTTTGCCGCACTAAGCAGATAGTACAATATACTATTTGTATATCGTTTTACTGACATCTCTGTTTTATAAAAAAGACACACCCACGGGTCCTTCTGGATCAATGTCCCCCATATCGCCTGTATATTTTGAATAATTTCTTGCCAGAATACCTGTATTTTTGGGCGAATAGGTTTCCCTTTAAAGGTGGCTTAAAGTAGAACTAAAAGCAAAACTTTTTTTAAAATATTGCATAGCCTATTCCTAATACTCAGAATGATTTTGAAATTTGTAAACTTATTTTGATAAGACTTCCACAGATATCCTTCTCTGGGTAGGCACTGCTGTGTCACAGATTTCACAGAATCTGCCTTCTGAACTGCAAACATGCTGATAGGAGGAGTTTCAGGAGGTGGAGTCCTGTCAGTACAGGAATAACTGTTTGCAGACAGCAAGGTACCATGGGATATGTAGCCCTTAGAAATTGAAATTAAACAGCAGAGCAGAAGATGCAAAGCATGCTGGGAATCCAGGAAGCCATAGAAAGAGTTGCCCAACAGACAATGGGCATTCACAACATGAAAGGAGTTTTTTTTTTAAGTAAGCTTATGTTGAATTGTCAATAATAACTATTGTTTGTAATGTTATTACAATGCTAAGGTTACAAAAAGAAAGTGTATACTGTGACCTCAGATCCCCAGTAACACAACAAAACAGCTCTCCATACACAAAGAATACCTAATCACCCAGAATTCCCTGCCCACACTAATCAGACTCAGGTGAGTGACAATAGTGTAGAAAGGGCTAAGAGTTCCTCCAGTTACATATTTTTTATGGTTCCCATAAAAATGTAGGTTCCATTTGCACAGGCATTTTGCCCCACTGCCAATCCCAATGACAAGAATCTACTGATTCTTGAGGCTGCGATTGACAGCTGGGTGTCCATAGCTGTTTGCTTAGCCAGTTATTACCTACAGTGATCATGGCTGTCAAGCCAGGGGCGTACCTACAGCAGTCGCAATTCGCAGTCGCAATTGCAACCTGGCCCCCTGCTCCAGGGGGCCCATAAGTCTCCCCTGTGCACCTGGGTAGGAGGGGTGCCATATGGAGAAACCAATGACCTCCATTTTCCTCCTGCAGCCAATGAAAGCCAGCTTCTGTCGTCAACAGCTCCTCCTGACTAGTTTCACTATAATGGACTTCATCAATGGATATATAAGAGGACCGTACCAAAAGTCATGCAAAAAGGGGCATAACTTTTTATTAACTTACATACTAGTTCAGCCTTTCTCAAGCTTTTGAACACAGAGGAACCCTTGAAATTATTTTCTAGTCTCAGGGAATCCCTGATTATATCTACAACTTATGATACACTAGTGTAATGGTCATTGGGAAGAGCACTCTTTACACTTGTAGTCATGGGGTAGGATTAACCCTTTACAGATAGCTAAAAAGATCAGTGGTGTCAGTGGTAACTTATCTGAGAGGCAGAAATTGCTAATTGCTCAAGGAACCCCTGGCAAACCCTGCTCTAGGTCATTCAAATTTCACATGGTATAGTAACTTTTCCTCTATAGCACAGGTGTCAAACACAAGGCCCCTTGCACCTCTCCTGCAGCTACGGTACCCACCTCGTCTCTACCTCCACCTTGTCTCAGCAGAGAAGAGGACAGAACTCCTTCACCAGATCCTGCACCTCTCAATGCAGCTGCAGCACCCCTCATCTCCAACCTTCCCTGGTCTCAGCATTCAGATGACTCTGGTAACTGACTCCACTCCTCCTCCAGACCCTGCACTTTCTGCTTCCCAGCTCTGCCCCCAAAGGAGGTGCACAGTGATTTTGGGGAGGGTGGGGATTCTTGACATCTGATGTATAGGGGGTGGGGTGCTCTAGTCTTACAGATACAACCAGCCCTTTGAGGGCAACCATAATGCCCTCCATGAAATGGAGTTGGACACTCCTGCTTTATAGTAACTCTTCTTCTTTTTCATTGGAGGTAAATAATGGAATCCAAGCAGAAGCAAAGTTCCGTCATTGAGTTCTTGATAGGTGAAGGCTGTAGAAACATCCACAAGAGACTACAGAATGTTTTTGGTGATGACACCACTGACAAGAACAAAGTACACCAATGAGTGAAAAAGTTTAAATGGTGTTGTCTCTGTAAATATTTTGGAGCCTTCTGAGGGTGTAGGACAGCCCGCACCCATCCTTTATTAAAAGGCTCAATGATGGCAGGTTGCTTCTGCTTGGCCTCTGCATTATTTTTCTTCATTAAAAAAGAAGAAGAAAAAAAGTTACTATGTAGGAACAGTTACTCTACCAAAATGTGAAATTTGAATGACCTATGTGAGTTAATAAAAGCCTTCTGCCCTCTTTGGCATTACTTTCAGCACAGCCCTTGTGTGTATATACAGTATATACTGCATAATATAACAGTTGCACTCAAAAGTTTGCATACCCTGGCAGAAATCATGACATTTTGACATTGATATTATAAAGATGACTGATCATTCCAAAAAACTCTTTTATTTAAGGATAGTGATCCTATGAAGCCATTTATTATCACATAGTTGTTGGGCTCCTTTTTAAATCCTAATGATAACAGAAATCCCCCAATAGCCCTGATCAAAAGTTTATATAATTTTATAATTATAATGACCTCATTTATTTTGATTTCTGAAATTAGCATATTAGTACTTTGGCTTCATTACCCAATTTATCTCCTGTGCTTTTTCTACGTACTTAAAAAAAGCATAGCTGAGAAACGAAAAATGTTGAGAATTTAAAGTAAATGTAAATCCTAACGTAATGATATTTTTGTCACCCTGTAATAGGAAGTTCCTGATCTGGTGATCCTTCATGGCAGGATCATCAGATATTATGAAAACTGCAAATTTAACAATATTGAAAATTATTGATGCAGTGTGGCTCTATCTGTCACCTCTCTCCATAGTAGTCGGCCTCTGATTAGCCACAGAACACCTGCAGCCAGCCACGACAGCAGCCAGGGCAGTCCCCATGTCCTCAGAATTCATAATTACAAGCAGTAGCAGAATTTGTAACGGTTTGTGCCTAACCTCCGAGGGAAATCAAATTCTGTCACACAAGTGGCTATCTCAATGTACCCAAAATAGAGGCATAAGAGTGATTTTAATTATGTCACACTCTACCGTTCTACCGTAACCTTAGGAAAATAGAATTCATAAAACATTTTTACTTTTGCAATTTTCCTTGCAAAGGTTCACTTCACAGTTTTATAAATAGGAGAAACCTTCAGTGATATTTAACTTCACAAGACCAAAGTGTTATACACAATGTCAGTTGCTATTTAAAGTTGAAGAACTGCGGACAACCTTTTAAAGCAGTATAAACTCAAAAGAAAATAATTATTATATTGCAGTTTACCAATTCTTAGATGTGATGGCTGCATTAGTTGTCTTTTTTAGGCTTTTTTTCTTTTATTTTCATCTAGTGATCCAGTCAGTAAGTCTGTTGTTTTTTAAAAGAACAAGCTCTCTTCCAGATGTATCAGAGATGAGGCAAACCATTTAGTACTGACATGGGTGATTCAAATGATCAGCTTTTAATTATTCATGTTAAACCTTTATTCTAATCTAGAAGGATCAAAATGTTTGCTGTAACTGAATATAAAGTATGAGCTGGAGTTTGGCTTCTAAAACTGCCAACACTCCCCTCCCCTGCAGACTGACAAAGCTGCTGTCTGTTGTGCCCCCTGTGCTCATTCATGCAGAGCACTCCAATACAGCAAGTCTGTTACTGGCCAGATCACAAGATGAAAACAGAGGGAAAAAAAGACTAAAAAAAAGAAAACTAATGCACCCACCACATCTAATGATTGGTAAGCTGCAAAATATTACATTCTTGGTTTTGGGTTC